GTGGGATAGGAAAATTGAGGAGGGATTGAAGCCTATAAATAAAGAGGGGATATAGGCTTTCATCACACAACACAATCCTTCAATCTATATAATTGTGTATTAGATTTTAGGTTGTGAGTGTCAAATATTGGAGAGGGTTTGTAATTTTTCCGTGCAAAATTACTAGTGAGATTTTATCCCAGAGGGGGTCGTGGAGTAGGTCTTGAGGTGCCGAACCACGTTAAAAATTGTGTGCTCTTTTTTTCCTTTTCTTTCCATTTGTTTGGAGTGGGGGCCTAACAAGTGGTATCAGAGCCAAGGTGCAGAGCCCGGGTGATCTAGTAATTATAATTTTTAGTATGCTCTGTGGTTGCAGCTTTGACTGATCCAGTCAGCACAGGTGGTGCCACTTCAGCGGAGGAGGTGGTGGTCCAGTCAGCAGAGGTGGGTCCGTGAGTTCCACGTCAGCAGTTTGTGGGTCCAAGTGCCACGTCATCATCCAGTCAGCACCACGTCAGCGGGTCTAGTCATCAGTGGGTCCCATCGCCACGTCAGCAGGTCCAGTCATTGTGTGGGTCCCGTTGGTGATTTTGGAGAGAAGTTGGTTCTGAATAATTTTGACGCCCTGATTCCATTTTTGAGGCTAGTTTCCTCAAATTTGGATTGTTTGGTATTGGTTGATTGCTGCTTGAGTGGAACTATGACTACCTTGAAGTTTGAAGTTCCATTATTTGATGGAAGAACGGACTTCATGTTGTGGCAATGCACGATTCAAGACTATTTGGTCCAGCAAGGTCTTGATTTAGCATTGCAAGATGAGAAGCCAAGTGATATGAAAGAATCAGAGTGGAGTACAATCCAGAAGAAGACTGTCAGCACAATTCGGTTGGCACTGTCCCCACAGATTAAAGTGACAGTGCTGAAAGAGACATCACCAAAGAAGCTGTGGGAAATGTTGGAGAGCAAGTTTGCGTCGAAGACACTTACTAACCGGTTGATGATGAGGATGGACTTGTACTCACTGAAGATGGAAGAGGGAGGTAGCGTAATTGATCACATCAACAATTTTAATGAGCAAGTATCAAGGCTGTTAAATGCAGGGGAGATTATCAAGGATGAAGAGCAAGAGCTGCTTCTAGTGGCTTCACTACCAAAATCCTTTAAGCCGTTTGTGCAGTCAATGATAGCAGGAAGGACTACACTGCGACTACATGAGGTGACGACTGCCTTGAAGGAGAGTCAAAGGATGATGGGAGGTGAATAGTCTTCCAGGGACAATCATTTACTAGCTGCTGTGAGTGTTGAGAAAGGGAGGAAGAAGAAGAGTGACCAACTTGGGAGAAGATCTCATCTGAGAGACATGAGCACTGTTAGGTGCTATTATTGTGAAAAGTTGGGTCACACGAAGAACGGTTGTCCAGAACTCAAGGAGGACTTGCAGATCCTAAAGGAGAAGAAGGGCAAATCGAAGGAAGCTTCTTTCGCAAATGTGATCACTTATGAAGATGATCTCCTCTGAAGATAAGAGTACTGCTGGACAAAAGATTCTGCAGGATGGGAGTATCGCTGCAGAAATCGCAAATGATGTAGGACTTTGAATTGAGGGGAGATTTGTTGAGTGTTACTTCAAAGTCCCACATCGGTGGGATAGGAAAATTGAGGAGGGATTGGAGCCTATAAATAAAGAGGGGATATAGGCTTCCATCACACAACACAATCCTTCAATCTATATAATTGTGTATTAGATTTTAGGTTGTGAGTGTCAAATATTGGAGAGGGTTTGTAATTTTTCCGTGCAAAATTACTAGTGAGATTTTATCCCAGAGGGGGTCGTGGAGTAGGTCTTGAGGTGCCGAACCACGTTAAAAATTGTGTGCTCTTTTTTTCCTTTTCTTTCCATTTGTTTGGAGTGGGGGCCTAACA